GTTAATGTCAACGAATTCTCCAAAACAGAAATTCACTGTCAGTCTGAAGAAATAAAATTCTTACTCCAGCCACTGCCAACAATTTGTGCCATTCTCCCTGCATCATAACTTCTGCTGAGAAAGGCATACTGTAGATATAACGGCATGTACAATGTGGACATTGCACTTGATATTTTTTTTCCTGCAAGAGAAAAAAGGAGGAAAAAAAGAGGATTTTCTAGTTTTTACCCAGTCATATATAGTCTTTCATAGAATCATGGAATGTTTGGGGTTGGAAGGGACCTTTAAGGTCATCTATTTCAACCCCTTTGCTATAGGCAGGGACACCTCCATCTAGACCAGGTTGCTCAAAGCCTCATCCAGACTGACCTTGAATGCTTCCAGGGAGGAGGCATCCACAACTTCTCTGGGTACCATTTTCCAGTATCTCATCATCAGTAAAGAATTCCTTCCTGATATCTAAATTCACCCTTTTCCAGTTTAAAACCTTGTCCTGTTACTACCTGCCCTTATAAAAAGTCCCTCTCCAGATTTCCTGTAGGCACCCTTCTGGTACTGGAAGGCAGCTCTAAGGTCTCCTCAGAGCCTTCTCTTCTCCAGTTTAATTTTTAAAGTTCCAAGTTTCAATACTGTGCAGTTGAAAGCCTGAATTTGGCATAGAGGAATACATCTACAAAAAGAGTACATTTCTACAGATGTTATCAGTAAGGAAGTCACTCCATTTTATTGACTGCTCATAGTGACAGAAAATGTATTTGGTAGAACCACAAATGGACAATAGAAATATTTCATTTGTATTAGTGATGCTTTTTTACATAAATCCTTACAAATGGCATGCAGAAATCCTTATCCCCTCCCCTTTTTTTCTTTTTAACTAACATGATGTGATCTGTTTTCATTTCCACACTTCCACAGTTCCCCAATGCTACCAAAGATTGCTTCCAAATGAGGCATGTTCTCAGTTGAATAGAAAAGGGTGTGCTTTCCATAGACACCATTTATGCCAAGAAATCTAGGCTACATTTTCTCAGCTCATGGTAAATTATTCACTGCATTGTAGAACTCTATGTCATTCTGTGTACCCACCACATTTAAGAAAGTTTAGCAGATGATAAGATCATTGAATGTGTAAATGCAATTTTGTCACCTTTCAGGAAAACATACAAACCCTATCAAAACTAAGACTATGACACCATGCCATTTGGGGAACACATTTGCTTCTAGAGAATGTGCTTGCCAATAAATAACACATAACACTTACAGATCTGAAATTATAACAGAACTATCTTTTGCAGTTCAACTGAAATAATTACTTAGAAGACATTCAATGCTGCATCCATTTACAACTACAGACAAATACATTCCTTGAGAAGTAGGCAAAAAAATTATGTTTATTTCTCTCTCTCTTTTTTTTTTTTTTTCCCTTCCACATTTTCCATCATAAGTCTGTAAATATTGGAATTCATCATTCTGTGTGGTTGGCTTCAAAGTTAGTCAATACAGCTAATGATATGTACATTCCATTTATTTTCATTGCAACTAATGGCTTTCGGAGTACAGGAAATGTTAATTGTGTATGTCCATTCATCACATTTTGACACATAAATGGATCACTTGAAAGTTCATGCTTATGCTACTAATTTGCTGTCCTGTAAACACTTTAACATTTATTTTTCTGCTGAACTGTACAGTTTTCCATAAGTGTTCTAGTAAATATGCTCTGTTGCATATGGAGTTCAATGCACACTGATGAAAAATCTTATTTTTTTCTGAGTATATCTATACATGCTGAAAAGTGAAGGTAAATACAAATGACTTTCTCTGTGTTTTTCACTGTGCTCTATCCTAATGAAAGACCACCAATTTAAACTTGCTTAATATACTATGTAGACATGACTAGAAGTCATATGTGAAAAGTAGGTCTATTCCTGATTGTCTTCATTTATTTAAAAAATACATGTGCCAATGGCTCAGCATAAAGGACCGATCTCACTCTGCGTGGACTGGCATTCACTCCATAACTGTTCAAACCACATGAACAAGACAAGAGTGAGTGCCAGAACAAAGGCACGGTGCATCAGCTCATTTGGCAACTTCTCCAGCATTCTTCCTTGGATCACTGCTAGTTCAGTCAGCCAGGTGTGCAGGTGGAAGAGTTTTGGTTCTCTAAGCAGCAGATGTGAAGTGCAAGTGAGATCTTTAGTCATTCCATTTGGTTTGTAATAACTTCTGCCTCAGCAGATATTTTTGTGACTACACTACTTTGTGCAGGTCATTACACAGAATAAAAAATGTGTGTTGCTACTCTGAACAGATAGTACAGCCACTTCTGAAGATGTCTTGTTTGTTTGTTATTAATTCCTTTTATCTTTGTATCTGTCTATATTGCTCTACAGTGGTGATATTTGAAGACAGTCTGTAAAGTGCAGTTTAATTTCCACTAACAAAGAGCCTTCTTAGATTTGCTAGTATCCTTGTCAATGTTGAAGACAGCATCCATTTAGCAATTATGGGATTGCTATGCATTTTATTTAGGTTCTCTGTTACTACACGAGTAAGCCAATGTCTACGGTGCATCTACAAAGACAAACAATCTACAGACAGTCTACAGACAATCTACAAGAACTATGTTTTCCTCCAAAAATGATTGCTATATTCATTTGTATGCTATGGATTACAGCTTTGGATTCATGGCTCTTGTTACACTCATTTTCCATTCAAGAACATGCTTCTCTTTCTCCATACATTTTCATGAATCTGCTGAAGGTCTCTCTTTATCTTGTTACTATCCAAGTTCAATGCGATCAGAACAGCATAACGAACTATGCTTGCAAATTTACTACTGCATGCTCCCAAGCTGGTATATGTAGAACTTTCGTACCGTCTGCACTCACAGATAATTTTATGCAGCCATTTTAGGCCAAATAATTGTAAGTTAGAATCAATTAGGAATTTTTTATTTACATCCTCCTATTATTCAACCATCTTTAAATTGTTTTAACGTCAAAATATACTGCATCTTGCTTTATTTGGCATATCTCTAGATTATGAATCTGACAAACATATTTGCAGTTTTCTTAGCTGAGTGACCTATTGGCAGTTTTGAAATACTGTATATAGCTACATCTCAAATCTTGATTAGATTGTGTAGATGCGAAAGATAAAGCCAGTCACCATAGGTCTGAGCATTTCTTCCCAAACTTTACGCAAAATTTTCAAGTATGAAAACAACAGAACATGTAGGTAATAATAGAAGCTAAGCTCAGAAAAAAATAGACCATAAAGATGTCTGGAATAGACCACATTAGCTGAAGAAGAATGTATTAAAGTCCAATGCGTGGAAAGCAACTCTGAGTATATTCCTAGAATTTTATGAAGAACAGCTGAGAAGACCAGAAAGTTGTAGGCTGGCAAAGCAGAAACTACACAAAGCAACAGATTCCTCTGTATACCTGTAAATAAGTATTCTAGAAAAACACTGTTCTGTGCCTTGCAGCAGTACTAAGATGTTGCAACTGGAAACCAAACAGCTCTGGCAAGTAATCCCCTGGTACCAAGGGAAAGGAAAACAAAATTCCCAAACTCATAAGATGAAATAACAAACAAAAACCCAACTACAAACATAAAAACAAACAAAATTCCAAGAAAAGAGACTGGATGAATCAGGTGTGTGGAACAGACAGAAAAAAGAAGGAAAAAAATACATGCAGTGGTTGTAATGCCACTGATACAAAAAGAATTCTAGATAGCAATCAGAATAAGACTTTCAATCAGTGGGTCTCTCTTGGTGATGGGCTATCAGATAATTATACTGTGTATTATAGATGTGATGAATGAGTGATAAAATCACAAGTCCTCTTGGAAACTGCCCCCAAACTCTGAAGAACACTGTAGTAAAGCAGAATGGTCAGCACAAATTTAGCACCAGTGAATCTTATTTGTCTAATCTGTTTGTTTTCCATAATGAAATGACTGGCTATGTGGATGAGGCTGTGAGCTGAGCGAGTAATACACCTTGTCTTTATCAAGGCTGTTGACACCATCCTCCAGAGCAATCTCATTTGAAAACTGAAGAAGTATAAACTACAAAGACTGACTGTTAGTTTGAAATTTAGCTGTGCTGACACATGCAGCTGGTGGGCAACAGGAAGTGGAGAAAACCACTAGTCCACATTCAAGAGAAACAGAGTGCTCTCAGCAAATTTGTGAACGGTATTAAATTCAGGGGAATAGCTGAAACAGTCAGTGATAAAATCTCAAATCTAGAAGGACTGAAGATTCACTGAATAAAGACAGGTTGGGTATCAGGAAATGTTTCTCCTCCAGAGGGTATTCTGGCATGGAACAGTCTCCGCAGGGCAGTCTCACAGCCCTGAGCTGTTGGAGTTCAAGAAGTGTTTGGACAGTGGGTTTGCATTCTGGGTGGGTGGGAGCTGGTTTCGGTGATCCTTGTGATCCCTTCTAACTGGGGATGTTCTGTGAATCTATACGGAGCTGCAGATTGAACAAACTACTGCGCTATTTTTTTCTGTTTTGTTTTTAACAGCCAAGGGAAAAACAGCAAAGGGAAAAATACTGCGGAGATTTCAGCGGGCATTCAAATCTCCCTGCAGCTGGACCGCGGCGAGCACCCAAGGCACTGCCGCAGAGGTACGAGGCAGCCCGCCAGCCACCTCCCGGCCGAACGTTGCACTGCACCCGCGAGTGTGATGCGGGCAGAAGGGAGGAGCAGCAGGGGGCGCTGTTGGGGAGCTGTTCTGACCGCTTCCGGCGCCGCTTGGAGGCGCTTCCGGCGCGTGGAATGAGCGGAGCGACGTCCCGGGGCACCGCGGGAGTTCGGTGCCTGCGGGCGGGCAGCGTGAAATAGAACGCGGAGAGAACGGTGAGGGGAGCGGCAGCGGGCTGCGATGGGACTGAGGCTCGCGCTGTGAGGGGGTGAATCCAGCCCCGGCGCTATGGCTCTCACCGGCAGGACGGTCTCGTGGTGGGTCCGGCTGCTCTGGCCCTGCCCTGTGGCCGCCCCTCGGGGCCCTCCGGTCTGGCTGCCCACGGGGCTTGAGGCCTGCCAGCGGTTCTACAGCTCCCGCGACAAGGTGACTCCGCTTCGCGTGTCCCTAATTCTGAATCATGCAGTCCGCAGAGGCGCTTAGCCATCTCGGGGAGTGCTTGCTGCTGCGGCCCTCAACTTCGGTGGCCATGTGTATAGGAGGAAGGCCTTGCAGACAGATGTTCACGAGCAGTGCTTTTTCCCATAGGAGCATTTGCGTTCCTCTGGTAGTGGGAGAACTTGCTCTTCCAAGCCGAGGCATTGTCGGGGATTAATCAGTCGGTTTAATCAGTGCTTTGATGCTTGCAAAGATTTTGGGGCTTTCTCTTTTCTCTACCAGGCCCAAAGTTGCAAGCATAATATGATGGGAGAGAGGAGCTGTGTGTCTCTAAAATTAGGAGTCAGAGTTTTTCAGCAGGGTGGTATTGTTACTGGGAGTCTTGTGGTTCCTGGCAAAGCCACCTTTCTTCAAAATTTTTTGAGTGAATAACACAAGGAGAAGTTAGTGATGGACCTTTCTGCACGTGATCTTAGGAAGTCAGGTGTTTTCTGCGTGTTCTTTTGTTCTTTTGGTTTTTTTTTGTTTTAATTTAGCCAAAACAGACTGCTTCCTTTTCTGTGAAGTCTGAGTGCTCCTTATTATGTAATTGGCACTGCTGCCTGAAAGCCAGGTAATGCCACAGAGTTCTTGCTTGGGAGGAATGATGTCTTTAGCTTTACAGTCCCCCAGATCAAGTTGTCTTAAGTAGTTTAACAGACTTAAACTGTTTTATGTTTTCCAAGTCCCTGTGTTCATAAGAACGTAGTAACTTTCACAATGCTTTGCTTCATACTGATTTTGGGTCATAACAAGTATGTATGTATCCGTGGCTAAAAGAAAATACTAGCATTTTGAACACTGGCAACCATTTAGGGTCTTCTAACTATGCCTCTTCTAGAGAAAAGAATAATTTCTCTTTAAAAGGCTTAGTCAGACTGTACACAGAGATTGTATCTGTGGTTTGTGAAAAGAAACTTTCTGTTTTTCAGGAGAAAATAGATATGTCAGCATATCCTGCTGAAAGCATAAGAAACTTCAGTATTATAGCTCATGTAGATCATGGCAAAAGCACACTAGCAGACAGATTGCTGGAAATTACAGGTAAGTGTTCTCTTTTCATCTTTACTACCTTCTATTGATGTGTAGATTTCAGTAGCTTTATTACTAAACTTTCTAATCTCTTTGCTCTCTTGCTGTCAGGTTGCTTCTAGGCTTCCAGTTGTGCAGTGCTACAGATGTTAATATGTTTTCTTATTCATGTTGAAATCTGTCAGTAAGTAGAGTTAAGAAACTGTGTAATTCCCTCAATAAAGGAATGTATTTTGGAAATAAACCAAAGAGAACATGTTTTTGAGGCTTACTGCCAGTTTCTGGTATGGACAGAAGGACTGTCATGACCTAGAAATTCTGGACAGAATACTTTCCAGAAGTGTGATAGAAATGAAAGAACTTCAACTATTTTTACTTATAAGGAGGTAACAGTTTATCCTTCTCTTCTGAGCAAGCTATATAGAACTGCCTTTCTTGGTGGTGAAGCTTGCTATTACTGAAGCTGATATAGTGCTGCATAGTAAATTTTAGAAATCTTCAGCTCTATTTTGATTTAGTAGGTAAAATAACTGCTAGTATGAGTTTTATGGATTCTCAGTTGCTCTGTGGATTTACTCTTTCTTTTATCCTAAAATGTTAGCAAAGTTGTGTTATTTTCTACTTCAGAAGTATTTGTCATCCTCTAGATCTTTGTCTTCAGTATTTTAATTTTTGTGTTGCTGAGAATAAGGAAAACTCTCCTTTTAAGTAAAAGTGATGCAGAAATGCTGGAGAGTCTTCAAAACTACAGCTGACTGGGAAAATTAGGCTTCAATTTCAAATTGGAAGAGGGAGACATAGATTACCTTAGTGGGCTCTCTGTGGTAAGTTGTAAAGCAACTTCTGCGTCTTCCAAGCGGAGGCCAATTTCAGAGCAGAGCTTAACTACTCAGAAATACCCTTTGGAAGAGTTTTGTTTTTCTCTTTACAGGAGTTAGCAAAACAAAACCTGGTGAGAAGCTTTTGATCAAAGTTATTCTTTGTTATTGCCTTCTGTGTTTCACTGTGGGCAGTTTTACCTGATGCCTGTGATAGAATGGAATTTTGAATTCAGGTCTGTCAAACTCCATGATAATACTCCTTTTGCCCTTGAGATTGATGTTGGTTGGAACCATGGAGCTGTTCTCCCATGATAAGGGTTGAATTTTCCTTAAATGTCAGAATTATTTAGGAACTTCTGGACCATTAATTTAGACTTGCGTAGTGTTTTGTATTATACTTATTCAGGAAAGTGTTTTCTGTAACTTCGTAGATAAAAGCCCATTTAACAAATGTTAAAGAGTTGAAGCATAAATTTATTTTCAAATGAAAATTTACCTTAATCAAGTGGAAGAAGTAGATTTCCTGCTGCAAGTCGCATTTTCTGCCTGTTAGTACTATTTTCAGCAATTGCTGGCTCGGAGAGCTAATATTCTAAATGGGATAATAAAACTTTTTTTGATCTTAGGAACAATTGCTAAAACTGACCGTAACAAACAAGTACTGGATAAACTGCAAGTGGAACGTGAAAGGGGAATTACAGTTAAAGCACAGTCTGCATCGCTCTTTTACAATTACAAAGGAGTAAACTACCTCTTAAATCTTATTGACACACCAGTAAGTTAATTAAAAAAATAATAACCAATAAGTGCAAAGGGGGTGTTTCATTCGCACAGAGCTGCATGTCTTTATATTTATAAATTGGACTTAGCAGATTTCTGACTTCTTGTGTTTATTCAATGTGTTCTTTCCTTTTATTTTATTTATTTTGGTAAGAATTATGTTTTGGATGAACAGATACACAAACAAAACCATCATAATGTAGATATCTTTGCAAAGGACTCCAGAAATATATGAAATTATGAATATTAATTTTCTCCACAGGGCCACGTAGATTTCAGCTATGAAGTTTCACGGTCACTATCTGCCTGCCAAGGTGTCCTACTTGTAGTAGATGCCAATGAGGTGCAGTTCTTAATTTTTGTTTTCTCCTTGGAATTTCAGCAATTTCTTTAAATAAGCTAGAGAGGAGTTCAGTATGTTTTAACCTTTCCATTAGTATTTTTGCAGTAGTCTAGCTCCATAAAAGTATTAGTGTTCCAGAAGACTAATGGGAGTTTAAAAAAAAAAAAAAAAGCCACAGACAAATACTTGCCTTTTAATAGGTGCTGTGGTGCCATGCCATAGAAACAGAAGCACTGAAGTAATGGAGAATCAGGTGATGCTTTCTACGTTGCATGAACTTTACAAGTGGTGATCTGGAGAGCTTACAGCTGTTTCACTGTATGCTTTTGATTACCTTCATTTTCTTGTTGGAGTGTGATGATTCATTCAGGCACACTTGGTTTAGCTAGTTGACTGTAATATGTATATGGCAACATTAAAGCATTGGCCAAATTAAAAATTAGTAAAACTCTAAGCCAAATGTGAATAAATTCAAAAAGTTCAGAAAACACCACAAGTTTTAAAATCAATAGATCAATAATTTCTTGACTGATATTTCAGGAGTAAAATGTTCATAAAATGATATCCATGCAAATTTCATAAACTTATTGTGTACTAAGAGGGTTTTGAAATCAAAGATCTGTTGTACTTTTATTTTTATGCTGCTAAAACATTTTGACGAGTCAGTTACTGCAGTGTAATATGAGGATTATAGAATCAGGATTTTAAATAAGGATACATTCTTGCAGAGTACTTAGATAGTAACTTTCTCTATGGCGTGTAATATGCCTAAAAAGAAACAAGAGATTCCATGTTGATTTCTTTGATGTGTGTTTTCTAGGGTATTCAGGCTCAGACAGTGGCAAACTTCTATCTTGCTTTTGAAGCGCAACTTGCAATAATTCCTGTCGTAAACAAGGTAATGAAATTGTAGTGTTTCAAATTAAACAGTTGAGTTGTATAAATATATAGAAGATAACTTCCTTAGTAATCTTCAAATAGGAGCATAAAATGAAAAATTAATAAGAATGTAGCAACAACATGTTGTCTCTTAATATTTTAATGATTGCTGGGAATTCCTACTTTTCATAAAATACATGTACTAGCATTTTTGTAAGTAACAATGAAAAATTATTTATGGAATCTGTTTGGTGAATCGAGTTAAGAAGCATTGTGTAAAATGTCTTGATATCTGAGCCATTTGTCTTCTTCCTTTTTAGTTTTTATTCTGGGGAATATTCAAGTGGGTTTTTACAAAAGTAACTTTACAGAAGTTCTTGCAAGGATGATTGTTGTATTATTCCATGTGTTAATGATAACACACAGGAGTAGCAGCTCAATATAAACAGTGTAAACTTAATTACAAAAAAAAAACCCAAATACATTGTTTTTTACAGTTTTTGTAATCTGTGTGGACTTGGTTTTCTTCCATAAACAGCATAAGTAGCATTTGTGCTTTGAAAATACTTTGTAAAATAAAGATTTTACCAGCTCTTGGATAAAAGTTCTTAACAAAAAATAATTACAGCAGGGATCCTTCCTGTAATCAAGCAAGGAAGACTTTTTCTAAAATGATTGATTGGAACTTTATAGTAATGGCCTGTAATTTAATTTATCAATTTGTTTCCACTTAGTAGCTGAACTTACTTTAGACTTGCAAAGTAGCCTTTCATGTCCAATTTTCTATAAATTATTTGCACCAAGACACAGTACTGAAAAATTCTTGATACATATCTTTTCTTGAAAATCTTAAGTATTTTAGTAAAGACGTAAGGAATCCTTCACTTGGACATTGGAGAGCTACACTTCTTGATCGTATGTAAGATGTCATGGCCTGTACATTTAGTTGTTTGTTGCTTTTCAGATTGACTTAAAGAATGCAGACCCTGAAAGAGTTGAAAAACAAATTGAGAAGCTGTTTGATATCCCTGTTAATGAATGTATAAGGGTAAGATCTCTTCAAGATTTATAGTGTCCGATTGTATACCTGTATCTACTTCGTATGCTAATCTTTCATTAGCTACATAATAATTCAGCAGGGTGTTGTCTGTCTGTTTTCATATGATGTGCTGTATGAATTTCTTTAGATCTTGTCTCCTGAAAAATAATTCTCAGTTAAAAATTGTAATGTGTGATGATGAATGGCATCATATAAAATTTTTTTTGCTTGTGGATCCTCTAAATTATTTTCATTTTTACCGTAACAATAATTCCCATTCAGGTGGAGAAATCATGTAACCGGTATTTATAATCAAATGTGTATTTCACAGTAGTGAGTATTTATATGAATAATGTTCTCTCCTGCCACCAAAATTACTTACAAGAGAAGGTGACACTTTAATAGATACTGAATGAGTCTAAGACACATGTCTTATAAAATTGTTGTTGGGCTTGTTTTAGATTTCTGCTAAACAAGGGACAAATATTGAAAAAGTTCTTGAGAAGGTCATTGAAAAGATTCCACCGTAAGTTATTTATTTTACTTATGATGTCTTGTAAGGATGTCTAGGAGACCATAAGTTGCATTTATACAGTATCTCGGTAGTAGATGTGGGGTAAATCTAGTTTCTGAGCTGAAAAAGTTAGCTTTGAATTGCAAATCAGAGAAAATGACCCTTCAGGTTTGAGATCTTTAAAATAAATCAATGTATATCTGCTGAAATTCTTAAAACAGTAATGAGTATCAGTAGGGAAGAATTGTTTGTTCTTAAGAAACAGGGAAGGAAAATGAATTCAGTCTGAAATGGAAAAAGAGAGGTGAGCTACTGGAGTGATATTTTTGTAAGCATATAGCTTCTACTTAGACACAAAGGGTGGGGGGTGCTCATTCATTTGATATTGAATGGAAAACGGTCTTCTTATTGTTTTAATAATTGTTTTAAATTTTTTGTGATAGACCTCAATTTAATACTACTGATCCCTTGAAAGCCTTAGTGTTCGACTCCACCTTTGACCACTACCGAGGTGTCATAGCTAACATTGCAATTTTTGGTGGGGAGATTCAGAAAGGGCATAAAATTGTGTCTGCGCATACAAATAAAAGATATGAAGTTAATGAAGTAGGAATTCTGACGCCAAACGAACAGCCAACACACAAACTGTAAGTAAAATGTTTCTTTCAATTGAACAAATCATAAGTTGATGTAAGATATCAAGTCTGTTTCTGTTCATTTACTTATTTACTTTTTTGATTGAGTGGTAGAGGCTGTTTTATTTTTTTGGATTGTAATGATTATTTGTAATTAAGTGCTCAATGTCATCCTGAGACAGAAACTTTAGGGGACTGCTTTTTGGGCACAGCTGGTGGGAGGGAGTCATTTTTATTGATGTATACTTAGCATATGAAACATCTGGACAGCTAGTTCTTAAGACTAGCTTTTGATATTCAGCTGTCCAATTTATTTCTAGGAACTACCTTGTTTCAGAGTGGAAGGGAATGGGGCTTCATCTTAGTTATTGCTGCAGCATATTTTGAGGGTGGAAAACTTTTAAGTCCATGAATGCAACAGCTTCCATAAACTATCTCATCATGGCAGCAGTGGGAAGAAAATCAGGTATGCCAGAATTAGTGAAGAGGCATTATCAGTTAGCATCCAAGTACTTTTTAATTACATTTTTGGGAAGCTCTTCAATGAAGGACTACATTATTGTGTGTGTGGTGGATTGAATCCAGCTGGAAACTAAATACTTAGACAGCCACTAGCTTACTCCTCTAGCATCAGTAGAGTGTGAGAGAACTGGAAAAACAAAAGTAAGGAAAAACTCGTGGGTCAAGATCAAGACTGTTTAACAAGTGAAGAAAAAAAGAAAAAAAGGGGGAAAAAATTTGATGCAAAGCCATTCATCCACCAACATGCGCTAGCAGCTTGGTATCCAGGCAGTCTATGAACAGCAGCTACCTTGAAGAGATGACATGCTTCTTATTGCTGAGAGTGATATTATATGGTATGAAATATGCCTTTGGGTCTGCTGACATGACTGTGATAGCTGCCAGCCTGTAGCTTCTTTGCTGGGAGGGGTAGAGTGAGAAATGGAAAAAGCCTTCACACTGTGCAAGCACTATTCAGCTTAGAAACTGGTGTGGTATTAACACCATTTTTGTTATGAATCCAAAACATGGCTTTTATATGAGGCTGCTGTTAAGCACATTAACTCCATCCCAGCCAAAACTAGTACGCTCTTTCCATCTACCACGGGTTCCTCTCCTAACAGCATAATATACTGGTAGAGGTTATTTGTCTTTGTTGTTTCTCCCATTTAACATGTGAAAGTTGCTGTGGTGGTAGCTGAGAATTGTTCTATCTTCTGTCGTAGATCCTCAAGTTCTTTCTTCTACTCTCAAACTGAGAGTAGCACAGTATTAAAAATCCAGAGCTGACTGTGTCTGTGTAACAAAACTACAGTTATGTGAGTCAACAGATGGTTCATCCCTTGGGACAAAATTTGCAACTCAGTGAAGAAACAATTTAAATGTGGCTTTTTGGACTGTTTATGGGCTCATGGGGGTAATTTATTGAATTTCCAACTGGGCTGAGTGAAATGGGGAAAAACAGTGGAAATATTCATAATGCCAAGAAGTGTCTGTATAATACCAATTCTATTCAGATATGCTGGACAGGTGGGCTACCTGATTGCTGGAATGAAAGAAGTAACAGAAGCCCAAATAGGAGACACGCTGTTTATGTATAAACAGCCAGTGGAGCCTTTGCCTGGCTTTAAGTCAGCGAAGCCAATGGTTTTTGCAGGTGAGGAGAAAACTAACTAAAAAGGAATTATTTTTTTTCAGTAGCAAGAGCAGGAGAACTATTAGAGCTTCTAAGATGTATTTAAGAGTTCTGAGGATTAGAATTTCACTGAAATTAAGCTAGAGAGACACGTGCTGTTTATATAGCTCTTTACGACTTAGCAGGCAAGATTCTTGCAGACTGGCTTTAGATGGCTGCAATACTAAGGTATGTTTCTAGCTTCTAATATTCTTCCAGTGCTTTTCCTTCTTTGTATTTGGAAAAGAAGGATTAATATTTTCAAAAATGAAGTCCTTATTAATGATTAGTTCTGTTAGACTGTTGCTGCCACCTTTAGTGAACTACTACACATGCTATGGAAGATGGCTTTGGAAAGAAATTCTGTTATTCAGTTTCCTGATCAGTTTTGAGAGAACTTTCTTAATTTTTGTCATGGATATTATGCTGCCAGTGAACGTAGGAGGGGTAAGTGTAATCCTGTAAACAATGTGGATTTTTTTGTGTGTGTGTGCATGTGTGCTGCTTCCTGTGCATTATCGGAGCACAGTGATGTGAAAAGTGGAACCTATTTCAAGTAGTAATTACACTGACAACTGTTTTTATTTGTTTTAATATTCATAAAAAAAAAAAAAAAAAGGAAATATTAGCAATGTTGATATGGCACTTTTTTTTTCTTCTTCCTGTGTACTCTTACCTGCTGAAGGAGCGTCTCAGTGACGTTTGCTTATTTATTAATTCTTAAGTTATATGGCTACACTGTACACCTACAAGAAAATGGTTATACTTACTAGTATACTCATCTTTCACAGCTGTGAAGAAGTAGATGAGTACAGTATGCCTACAGTTATGGTTTGAATGTTAATTTCTGTTTTTTCTGTTTGTTTGTTTTTTTAATTGAATGTTACCTTAATAAGGTTTTAGGGAAAAAAAAAAAGAAAAAACAGATTGAAAGAGTCAAATTAACAGAAAGCAAGCTATTTCTGGTTTTTATTATTGTTACTGTTTATTACTGCTCCTACTATAAAGATAAGTATGTAGTAGATCAAGCTCTATCACAGAATCTCTCTGTCATATGTTTTGACAGGAATGTATCCTGTAGATCAAACAGAATATAATAATCTTAAAAGTGCTTTGGAAAGGCTGACATTGAATGATTCCAGTGTCACTATTCATCGTGACAGTAGCCTTGCTTTAGGAGCTGGATGGAGGTGAGGCTTTTATGTTATTTTCATATGTCAATCGAAAATTGTAGTTATTTCAAGATTAGGAGCTGTAATTCAACTTAATGATAGGTAAAGATGAAAAGCAGTTTATTTTCTTTTGTTCTACATTCACATATATTCTGCGATTTGTTGTGATTGATATTTTTTGGCTTTTAGAGGTTCTTTGCTGTGTCTGATAATGCCAGACTAGCAGTATAAACATACTGGAGTGACCAACAAATATTTGACCAATATGATTCTTTTTTCCCAGGTTGGGTTTTCTTGGTCTTTTGCATATGGAAGTTTTTAATCAACGTTTGGAGCAAGAATATAACACATCTGTTATTTTGACTGCACCTACTGTTCCATATAAAGCTGTTCTTTCCTCAGCAAAATTGATAAAGGTATGTAAACAGCAACTTAAAAGCCTCCTTTAAAAACATCTACAGTTCAGAAATGTAGAATGGTACAGTATTTTATGATAAACATTAGAATTACTGATATGCAACTTGAAACTTATTTCATTTGTGGATTTTTTTTTTTCTTTTTCAAAGAATACTGACTTTCTTTCTGCTTTCCACTTTAAGCACTCGCTTTTGTTTTGGATTTTTTTTTTTAATATCTTGCCCTTGTCCTTGATAATGGGAATAAAGGACACTATGTAAAATACCTCTTCCTTTTCTGTCTTAGTAAATAGCTTTTATCTCAACCCATGAGTCCTGATTTGTGTTTTTTTTGCTGATTCTCTCCCCCATTCCTCAGCAAAGAGCTATGTAGTACTTAACTGCCTGCTGGATTTAAACCATGGCATCTTCCAAACTTTATCTGTCAGAAAATATGTGCTTTTAGGAATAGAATGTAATGCTACTGTAGACTGATGGGGATTAGTGAAGATTTGACACTTTTTGATAAAAATGAACTGGTTTTGAACAAAACTGTTGGTGAAACAGCCATTTGTAAAGCTTATTGAACTGACTGCAGTTAAAATTCCTGTGTTTTGAGTTTGAGAGAAAGCTGGACAAAGGAGGCTGCAAATAGACAGATTCATTACTTAACATGTTCTTCTAAACACTGTAGAAAGCTTGGACATTCCAAATTTGTGCAAGAGAAGTTGCATTACCTGCAAGATATGAGATGCAGACCATTTTTTCCTTTACAGTTATTGTGGTTTCTTCCCTAGGCAGCATGCCTGCTATGAAATAAGGCACCTTTGTGGCATAAATGATTCTAGATTGCTGATCTGAGACACCAGAACCAAGTTTTCAGGTTTTCGAACAGTGCACGATGTTGGGTCCTTGTTCAGAAACACTGCCTTGCTAGTGGAAGTAAAATAATCACTTGCTTTGATGTGCAGAGATATTGTATGCATACAGTAAGAAACATGACTTTCCTTGCATCTTTACTCCAGAATGGTAGCTCCTGCCCCTGAAGGAATGTTAGACTGGAAAAGGTAGGTGATGGGAACACTTGCAAAGGAATCAAAAACTTCAGAATCCATTTTGACTTGTAAAGGAGATTGAACCTGAAGTGCTGCTTACAGAAAAATACCCTCGACATCATCAAGCTACAGAATAATTGGAACAGGTTTTGTGTTGAAGCTGTGCCTTATATAAGGGTAAGGAGATGGAGAAGCCTTATCAGGATAAAGTAATAGGGAATATCCTTGCCCAACAGACAAGAGACAGATGGAAATTCATTGGATAAAATGCTTACAAAGCGACTAGAGGAAAAATGTTGGATTTTTTTTTTTTTTTTTTTTCAGGAGTATGGTAATTCAGAGATTACTATTATCAACCCTGCTCAATTTCCTGATAAACATTCAGTGTCTGAATATCTGGAGCCAACTGTTCTTGGCACTATTGTAACACCTCAGGAATATATTAGGAAAATAATTGTTCTGTGTCAGGTTAGTATACTGTGGTATGCTGTTCTAGTTTTTGTCACTTGCATTTTTAAACTCTACTTATCATACCTCAGAAGATACTAGATAATAGTATAATAGATGATGGTTGACAATAATTCTTAATATTTTTAAAAGAAAGTAAATATTTCAAATTGTGTGTTTAAAATAAATGCAAAATTACTCCTGAGCTACACAGTCCTTACACTGAAAGTTAGTGTTCTGGCTCAGTGACAGTAAAGTACCTGCTTTAGCACTGTGTACTAGTAGAGTTCATAACTAGATTTCTTTTCTCGAAGGAAAGGAATCTGCAGCAAGACTGTAAGATCTGCTTTGTGTGTTATTTATAGAAAATATTTTTCAAGGGGAACTGAAACAATTTTTATTTGTCTAGGATCGTAGGGCAGTCCAGAAAGAAATGTTGTATATTGATGAACATAGGGTTATGCTAAAATACCTTTTTCCATTGAATGAAATTGTGGTGGATTTTTATGATGCCCTTAAGTCTCTGTCTTCTGGCTATGCAAGGTAAATACATTCTCTTTCTTTCTTCTTATTCCCCCTTCCCATGAGGGGAAGAAATGAAAAAATATCTGAGAAGAAAGTATGGAAGGGCACAAAAAAAGGGTATTCCTTTATGATAGTGCTGCAGTATTAGTGTTGCATTCCTTTGACATTTTTGACAGGATGCTCATCCCTTTGTTAAAGGGAACTTTGAGGAACTTCCAAGTGGCATTTACAAGTATTTGAATAAACTTCTTAAGAGAGTACAGTAAATATGTGGATATCTGATTTTCCTTGCAGCAGATGATGTGTCCTGCTTACTTGGAGACAAAATTTACAGAAATGTTGAGCCCACTTTTGAATAATGGTGTCATACTGAGAGATTTTACAAAACTGTGCTCCTATTTTAACATGAAGTTCAAGTGTTCTGTTAATTGTTTACAAAGCTTAAGATTTATGGAACAATGAATGCAGAATACCATAGTCACTGACTTCTAAATTGCTTTGTTTAGTTTTGATTATGAAGATGCAGGTTACCAGCCAGCAGATCTTATCAAAATGGATATTCTTATAAATGGAAATCCAATTGAAGAACTGGCAACTATCATACACAAGTAGGTTGACTGGATTCTCTATTCCAAAGGACTAAAACTTAAGCATGTTTTCATTGTGAATAAATATGAATGATGAATGCATGTGGAAATTAGCATTGAGATTTCACCAAATGACCGACTTCCAGAGAAGATCTGAAATAGAAAGGCATTTTATAGTAGGAAAGCTGTGCTAAATATAATGTTCCCGTGTTAATGTGGAAGGAGGAGGTGCACATATAAATGTGAACTGACAGCCTTTTAAGGTGTTGGAAAAAAATTAAGGGCTAACCAGTCCAGGAGATGTGCTATGAATTGTTTATGGTGTATACTACTAAAAAACTGGATAAGTTTTATTTTTATGCCTCCAATAATCCCTATTCTGTACAAGCTTTCTGTTATCTTGTCTTTAGCTAGAGTACCAGGAAAATGTAAATATTTATTGACTGTAATAGTCTCAGAAACTGTTTGCTAAAATGATTCAGTTTCCATGAGTTTCTCAGGAACTACTCATTTGCTGGTGAAAATAATGCCTTTCTATCTTCCAGTCTCTCCCCTTGGTTTTTTCTTATGAAGTCTGTGTTAGTCTCCATTAAATAACTTCACAATCCCTTTAGTAATCATGATATTAATTTTTTGGTTTTTTTTTTTTTTTTTTTTTTTTTTTTTGTCCTTATTCAAACACTATCTTGTAATCGTAAAAATAAATAAATTAGTATATTATCTAATGTATTCATGTATACTTTAACTAAATTGCAGAATTTCAGAATTAAAGGTTGGAGTAGGAAAATGAAACTCTTACCTTCTTGAGAAAAATAACTGTGCAAGAGGAGAAGAATAAATCTCTACTGTATATTTGATTTATGTGTTTTTAATAAGTATGCAGTTTAGCAATGTAATAAATATACATTCAGCAAATTGGAAAGATGCAAAATGGAGTGGCCAACCTTGTAGAATGATTGCTTTAACATTAAGTGAGAACATTTTAGAGAAAAGAGTCACTTGTTCTCAGTGGTTTATGAAAGTATCAATTTTATAGCTTCTTTTGACCTTTTGTCACTTTTTTCTCCAAAATCTGCAGTATATGCAGATGCTGAATGTAATTGGATAACTTTTTTTATTACAGACTGCTAGAGTAGATTAAAAAAGAATTTCATTGTTGTATAAAAAGATATTTTGAGAATGCTTCAGTGATATGTAGATCTTTGACCTTTCATGTCTGAAATCAATAAAATGCCCCCTTGAGCTTCTAGTTTAAAAAAAAAATAACATTTCAAGCTGTGAAATTCTTCAATAAAGCTTCAGTGTGATAGATTATCAGAATATTTATTATAAACATTATTTAACATTTTTATGAAAACCTCCTGTTAGTGTAGTCTTATCACTTGTTTGTGTGAAATGAGTAATATACAGAGACTGGTCATTAAAGTCCGCATTGTAAAGTTATCATCTGGTAAGTTTAAGAATATAAAAAGATAAATACTTTTAATATTTTTCCTCTGACATTTGGATATATTTTGGGATTGCATGACTGTTTCTGAAAGAATTAACTTCTCAAAACTTTCTTTTCCAGTGATAAAGCCTATGCTACTGGTAAATTCCTGTGTGAGCGTTTAAAAGATACCATACCAAGACAGTTATTTGAAATAGCCATCCAGGCTGCTATTGGCAAGAAAATAATTGCAAGGGAAACGTAAGTGAAACTGTTCTTTTCCTCTTCTTTATTTAAGCTATTTTAAATATGAACTTTAATGTCATCCCTGGTTCTACATGTTACAATACTTCAAATCTACCGTAAAATACTATTTTTCTGTATGTACTCCCAGGTGTCTACAAAAAAACCCAAACACTATGCTTTCAAGCTGTGACCATGAATAAGGACTTAATTATTAAAAATTAATTGAAAATAATCCTTTTATTTTAAATTGCCTGTGGTCAGCATTACACTTATTGGGCAGTGTATAACTTGTCACACTAATACGTACTTGCTTGGTACTGAAAAAGGTGTTTTTTATTGTTGAATATGATTTCCTGGATGTGAAGTAGCTTTCCTTGGCAGTCGTAAAAAAAAAAAACAACCAAAAAAAAAAAAAAAAAAAAAAAACCAAAAATTCATCACAGCCACAAAAACAAACAAACAAACCAAAAAAAAAAAAAAAGAAACTATTTGAACTGTGCTACTGCAAAGGAAATGTGCAAGCTCAGCAAGTACAACTATTTCTTAGCAGCACACACTTCTTTTAAAGCAAACTTTTTCCTTGGTTGTTGTATTTCATGTCATGTTTTGGCTGTTGTTGTTTTAAATTACATTTAAATTGTGGTAATCAGAAGTGGCTATCCAAGCAAAAATTGGATAGGAATTTGTTTGCATGTGGGTTGTAAAAGCATGTATGAAGCGTAGAGCGTTACAGGCAGGTAAAACATAAAAGCTACAGTACTGTCTATTACTTGCCTTAAGACATATTTCTCAAATTAAGAACAGTAAATCAACATCTTTAAAATGTTTTTGACATGTTTAAAGCATTATCTTCTGTTTACATATGAAAATGGCATAATTCTGTTGCTTTTTAAAAATGTAGCATAAAAATGATGCTCAGCATTTTGACAACTTGCTGTTTAGTTTCACTACTGGAGTTGCTTGCTGTGTTAATATTTATGGTATTCTTTTTTACAGATTGAAAGCTTACAGGAAAAATGTTGTGGCAAAATGTGTAAGTATTTTTTTTTTATTCCAATGCATGTAAACCTAAGAGTCTTATAACTGTGATGTACCTATCTTTCCTTAGAAACCCCATGAAGACATATTTTGCTTGTGCTTCAAAACGTCAGTGGAATGTTAACAGACACTCTTAAACTTTTTCTTTTAAATTCAGCTTGCGTAACCTTCACTTGGTGCTTGCAGTAGATCAGAAACAGTAATGACTTCTTCCATGTGTCTACTCAGTATCTCATAATACTTGAAGAATATGCATGCACTTATGTAACTTCATAATTTCCTAGTTTTTTTCTTAGATTATTTAAGTATAGTAAAGCACTTTATATACTGATTGCAATTAGATTTTCACTTCAGTTTTCAGTAAGAAAGTAAGAGGAGGCCTTAAATATCAATAGTTGATGATAAACAAGGCTGAATAATGCTATAGGAAAATTATGCCATAGCTGAACTTAACAAGTTGAAGAGATTAAACAAGTATCCTTTTCTCACAGCTATTAAGAATTCTTCCAATTGGAACCTAGGTTGGATGACATCCCATCAATGTAAGGGTTGATGAATTTGGATGTAATCACCTTGTGGTAGCCAAGATGCTACAGTGTATCAAAGCTGACACTGTTGCTGTTCCACAAGGATTTGAATAGCCCATAGTATGCTACAGTTCTATCCTGCTATCCTAATGTCATCCAGGCTTATTTAAGAATATTTAGTATATAAAATATGTGAATTAATCTACCTTTAGTTGTCTAAATGAAAGTGCTCATTTGCTCCCGTTCTTTTCAACTACTGCTCTCTTGGGATAATGGTAGAGAGTATAGAGTGATATTTTCTAATATAACCAGCCTCATTTAAGCCTGTTTATTAAGTACTGTAGGCTTAATAAAATATTTTTCCTTTTCATAGTACGGTGGAGACATTACAAGAAGAATGAAGCTTTTAAAAAGGCAGGCAGAAGGGAAGAGACTGATGAGAAAAATTGGCAATGTGGAAGTACCAAGAGATGCCTTCATACGTGTTTTAAAGAGACAGCCTGAGAAATAAATTAGTATTATGCAGCAGATTGTCTTAACTTCTTAGAGACAGTAAGCATACTTGTGTTAATGTATAATTTATCACTGTGAAAGGGAACATCTGATTTAGTTTATATCATTTTAAATGGGAATATAAATTGAAAAGATTTTGTATTTAAATTATAACGTACAAATGTATAATCAAATAAAGTAGCTTTATTTTCAATTTTCTGCATCTAAAAGCTTTCATTGTAACTTCACATGAGCTAGATAGAAAAGTTTGAATGTGTTAAGAGCGGGAGAACAGCAACTGTGTCAAAAAGTTTATTAAAACAGTTTGTCTATCCATACCTTAAACTAATATAATTTTAAGTCACAAAAATTTCAAGCTACACTGTTTTACTTGCTAAAGGTTCTCATCAGGAAATAATGACTTTGAGGGGAATCACAACAGGAAAAAACAAACTACACATTTCTCAGCAAGTAATATTGATTCAAGTCTTCCATACTGGTCTACCTAAGTTCAGTGTGTAGTGACATGCTAAAAGCTGTTGGTGAGTTCTTTGAAACTAGAAAAAACTAGAAAATCTATGCATAAAACTTTACGAAAAGTTTATGATCCTATTATAGTAATAGTGACACAAAAGGATACTCTTATCTTTAAGATGTAAGTACCAAAACTTGACTTAAGTGACCTAGTATATGAATCTTACCCAGATTTCACATGCCAAGACTTAGGCTAGAATAGTTATGTAGTACCTGGCTGCTCATGTTTATTTGAAAAGATAAGAGCATAGGCTACTCAGAGCAAACTACCTTTGGGTTTTGCATGTCTACAAACAAGTTATCATACCAAAATCAGAAATTCAACTAGCAGTATGGTCCAACAGAATTTTGTACTTTGTGTTAAGTCTATACCTACTTTAAACAAATATTTCAGTTTATGATAGTGGCAAAATTTGTTTTTTATCATTTAAGGCAGCAAATACATACCATAGTTTAAGGTCTGTTCTAAACTAACAAGAATTCTTCTCTTCCATAAACATGTTGTAGACAACCACTTTTTTTTTTTTTAAAAGCACAAGACTATGCAACAAAACAAATTATTAATGTTTAAGTGAAAAACTAAATTCTTCAAATTAGGCTCTGTCAGTGGATCACAAAAATTATAAAAAGCACAGTTGGTTCTTAGTCGCTTCCTTACACGAAGATGACAAAATACTTGATCTCTCCGCTTTACATCAGAAACAAAACAATTTGGAAAAAGATAGATTTAGATTTAAGTTTTACTTATTCAAAGTGGGAAATAACATTCCTTGTGACAGTTCAGTATTTATAGCGATACAGTAAGAGGTAATTATTACAGAGTGGGTAACAGCAGACTTTAATACACTATCATTTGAATTTGTAGACTCCATGTTCCTGTAAGTTAACCTCATTCTAGGCATTTAATGATACCATCCAATACAATTAAACAGGTATATACAGAAAGGAACATTTAGATCTTTCCTTCTATATAAAGCACAATTACTAAAAATATAAAAACCCTAAAGTAATTTGAAACACATGAGAAGAAAAAGTGCTATGGCAAACATTTAATGTAAGTAACCAGAATAAGTTATAACACTTTAAGAATTGGGTGCAGTTTTAGGCACTGTTTTTCATATTTTTATTTGCCTGAATTGTACAGCAGGACTCAAGATGCCCAAAAACTGTTTGTATAAGATTAAATTTAAGGCAATCAAGTGCAAAAGCTTAGTGTGCATTATGTAAACAGAACATTTCATAGTAAAAATTGCACAGCTATTACAAGTCCATAGTATTTAACAAAGGCCAAAACCATTCTGCCTAGGAATACAAATGCAAAGTGTAGTTGCACTAATGGAGGCCACAATTACAGATTATTGGAAATAAACTATCACTTCCTCTAACAGGCAGATGCAATGCATTGCTGTGCTAAAATAAGTGCTCTGTCCCACCCCCCTCCACCCCTACATAACATGCAGCCTTCCACAGATTTGTTCTGTTCCATTTAGTTACTGTAACAGCCAGAGTTATAAATATCAAGGCAAAATGCACAACACCAAATAGAGATGGAATGTGAATGTACACATATTGGACCTTTTAAAAAAAAAAAATACAGTACCTAGGATTCCCATTTTAAACAGTTTTCAGTATATTGCATAGCAGTGAACTCATCTGCTACCTAAAACTGTTGCTGTTGACCCACATGCAGTTCTTCAATTCTTCTTTCAGTTTTCTTTCATACTGTACAGAGGGTCCACGAGTTTATTGTGCACATGCATTAAACCTTGAGGGGAAAGCAACAATGCCAGCTTTACATCATTTTTAATATACTTTTTCCAACATGTCCTTCTATCCACACATTTGGAGCTAACTTCAAAGTACACATTTTATACAGTTCACTGAAAAGATAGATTATGGCTATTTAAAGTAGTTTAAAAAAATCAAAAGTAATTAAAACTATATATACGCTAGTTATGTATTTTTCCCTGTATCACTTAAATATTATTGCCATCTTCATATAAACTAAACAGAAATGAGACAGCAATGACAACAGACCAGTTAAAAAGATATGAAAATATTCCACATCAATTAAACACCTCATGAGAGATACACATCTCTCTTTTTTAATAAATGCTTAACAGCAACACATACAAGAATTTGTTGTAACAATCAGATTTACACATACTAATAATTTTACAGCTTGAGTTATAATGTTCTAGCACAGTGGTATCTTTGTAACTAAGTGTCCTTCAGGTCCTAGACAAGCAAAACCAAGCAGCACAGAGACTGTTAATGACTATATAGAACCTCCCCTCCCATTCTCCTGTGGAAAACTTTGGAAAGTGCTGGGAAGATCAATCAAAAAAAAAAAAAAAAAAAAAAAAAAGTCATGTTGTTTACTTTGTTACAACTTAGTAAAAGTGTTACCTACAAAGTGTTACCAAGGTATGGTATCCAGTCACTGGTACATTTTTTAACCTTACAAACTGGTAACAGTATCTGGTCAACGTTCTCAATCTGTAAAGAGCCTAGTTTAGAACCCTACAGAAGATTTGCTTCAACTACTACAAATTTCAGAAATAGGCAACGTTAAAAGCCGATATTCTCAAAAGCCATAAAAGATATCTGACAGTAAGTGCACATTTCAATAGTATTCTGCAGCAAAGAATATAAATACCCCTGCTGCATTATGTATCTGGCACCAAACATTGCATCCCTGCAGGCAAACTAACCTCAAAGTCTGAATCATTAAGTCTATTTTTATTTTCATTTCTGATGTATTTTACAAGTTTGCTATTCTTTTCTCCACTAGGCGGACCTTACAGCCATACCAGAAAGCCAAAGCATCAAGAACAGACTGAAGAACCCAGCTTGTTTTTGTTTCTGGAGGTAATGACTGAACTGCAGACCTTTGTAAATAAATAATTTTAAAAAAATCCAACCACAAGAAGAAAAACTTATTAAATCAACATGACTAAAGCACAAAAGTTTCTTAGATCTTAAAGGATAACTATTGATCATGTATATTGGAAAGATCGAGTCAGTAATGTTTCTCATGAGTTTGGCAGTAAGCAGGAAAACACCAAATGTGGATTTGATACAAAAGGCATTTTTATTCAAAGAAAAACAGCTATGCCATGTACTGAAGTTTAAGCATTCCATTTCCTGTTTTTCTGTTCTGTTTTAGAAAAACAGGAAATGAAAAGGAGAATTACCCACTTACTTCCTGGAGGCGTGAAAATGCTTACAGAGTATTCTCACTGCCATATGGAAAAAGTTATATTTAAATCCTTTTAGTGGTTTTGGAAGTACAGTTAGAAACAAAGTTTATTTAAATGATGATATGCAAAGTCTCTTACTAGATAGAAATAACTGCAAAAGCAATTATTTCACATAAAAATCTTCCAGCCTATTCAACTCAAATCAGGTTAAATAAATGTTTTAAACAAGAGCATGCAGAAGTAAAAAAGAACTCCCAGATCAACTTTCCTGGAGACAAGTAAATTCGAAGATATTTTTCTGCCTTCTTCTGCGATAAAGGAATGAAAGGAAAAGGTGACCTTCCTCCCATTTTGCAAAAAGAACACTTAGAGGATCATTTCTCTTATTTGTTTCAGAAAGTTAGAAAAAAAAAAAAAAAAGGGGGGGGGGGGGGGTAAAAGTTATTCTAACTTTCTGATAGAGTGGCAATTTGTTATCAAACACTGCTTGAAGTTTCATGTGATACCTTGAGATTTTCCTTAAATGGTAAAAAGCTGTAGTAACTAGCTACCAGAATTAGCAGTCATCAAGAACCACCCAGCTTCCTAAGAACTAAGTCATCCAACCTGGAGATCAAGATTCAGAAATAATCCCAGGTTTTACTAATACTGATTTCTCCATCTAAAAAAAAGAAAAACCACCAAGTAAACTTCACTAACACATGAATAGGGAAAATTACGCCAGGCAAAACAATCTGAGAATTCTATTGCTTTGTATGCATTATAGGGTAATTAAATAGGTGAAATAGTACGTATTCATACACTGTAGCCCTTAGTTTTCTGTGGAGATATGTTCACTATCAGTGTCATTCATACCTAATATTTTTATTAGAGTAGTTTGTATACTCCCTAAGCAGAGCTTTTGTTTATTTGGATACAGGATAGTGTTTAGCACCCATCCATGCAGTTTAAGAGGTTTATCTTTGACAATGCTAAGTACTATCTAGCAGTGTGATATGTGTGAAGAGTGCCCCCTCTCCCTGATATGTACCAAAGAACATACTGAAAAAATCTAAAGTGAGAATTATAAATGAAATCAGTATAAAGTCACATTAACACCAGACTTTACTATTATCTACAGACTATTTTTAGAGCATTATATCATTAATGCCAGCCTTGCTGCTACATGCCTCAACTACTACAAAAATTCACACAGTAAGAAAGGTGGCTAATAAATACAACCACATGTTCTGTACTAATACAGCTGGGAGAAAACTATTTTGCTGAGCTTCTACAGTCTTAGTTAAATATAATTAACATCCAGAAACACTAAGTTACTATAAGAAATCCAAACTCAAAGCTTGCCTCAATATACCTACTACAAATCTGAAAAGCATAGTTTGTGCAATGCATTAAAGTCTAAACAGATTGCCATTGCACTTTATGAAGAGTGTCCTCCGTTCACATCCAAGTCTGCCTCACATAGTTGAAGCTTACTGACAGTATATAATAAGATAAAATCAGCATGAAATATACCAGGATTGAAATAAAATTTGTTATAATTGCAAGTTTATATATTATCATTTCAAATGGGAAGTAAATACTTGAAAAAAAAGATCTCTTTTGAATAAAGTATTTATCAAATGACACTGTATTTTTGTATGCAAGGAACACAAGTTACATCTTCCAGCACTTTCCCACTCACAATGTAGAAGTTAACATTTAGTATCCTGAATATATGTTAGCTATATGATGTGCCAGGAGACTTCATATAGTTGTTATTTTTAAATAGAGGTAACTTCTGATTCAGTGCTCACCTTTGAAGTACTTCACAGTTTTAACTCTTAGTTCTAAAGTAGCATCTTCATCGCACACAAAGATAGTACGAGGGTGCTGCTGGAAAGCAGAAACTGTCCACATATGATTGACACCTTCTTCAATAGCTTTGTATAATGCAAAAGCTTTATGTGCACCTGTTATAAGAATCATCACCTGCAAAACAGAAGCCTTTTTACTTTCAGTCCCCATAACACCACAAACTAGTCTTGAAAACAGATACATGCAACTAGAACTGAATAAGTTCTTACTTCTCTAGCATCCATCACTGTACCCACACCAACCGTTAGCGCCATAGTTGGTACTTTAGATAAGTCTCCATCAAAGTATTTAGCATTTGCCAAAATGGTGTCCATTGCTAAAGTCTTTAATCTTGTTCTTGAAGACAAACTCGATCCGGGTTCATTGAATGCAATGTGGCCATCTGGACCAATGCCTTTTCAAAGTTAAAGAAAGCAAATCATTCCAGACCTGCGAGTCAACAAATATCCTCAAACATTGCAAAAGAATAAAAAGAAAAATTTATGATTCATTCTTTTGTCTTGGTTCCCCATTTCAACACGCAAACAAAAAAAAAAAAAAAAAAAAAAGCATTCAAAACTTAAACTACATTATCATTAGAAATTTGGACACCAAGCATTCTGTTCTGGTATTTGTACCAATTCTTTGTTAGCCACAGAACTTTCTTAGACTATAACAGAAAAAAGTGATTTTAACTATGTTCTGAAAATCACAACTGAAGAGTCATTATATTTATTTCAATCATAACTAACCATAAAGCATTTTCTCATACCTCCAACAAACAGATCAATCCCTCCTGCTTCTTCAATTTTCTTTTCAAATGCATCACATTCCACCTGTAAGTCTGGAGCGTTCCCATCAAGAATATGAGCATTATTTGGATCTATGTCAATATGTTTAAAGAAGTTATTCCACATATATGAATGATAACTCTCTGGATGATTTCTGGGAAGTCCTGAAATCATTTAAGATGCAAATTCACATATTAAAAGACTTACTCAGCTTTAAATCTAATACAAATCTTTCTTGAGTAGTATGAAGTCAGACAAAGCAGTACTCATACTGAGAAGACTTCTGTTGCCATACATGTTTACATTCTCTATATACTCTTAGTGATACAAAATATCACTACAAATATATGAAAAGTCTTCAACAAATGTAGTCAAAATGCTACATAACAGTTTTCAAGCACTTAATTTAGCCAAGGATTCACTCTAATTAATTACTCGCATTCTAATGGCTAGAAAGAAACATATGCTTAAGACACTTCCAGGTACATTAGTCTAACAGAATCTCAAGAATTTCTAGTAATCTTGTGCTTTGTTAAAACACTTTAACAGTTAATAAGGGAAAAAAAAAAAAATAAGTATACGCTGCATTTTCAAAAATAAGCACTAAAGCTTACCTACGTATTCATCCATGTTGAAAGTCTTCACATATTTGAAAGAGAGATCTCCATTCTTGTGATATTCTATCAGCTTTTTGTAGCATCCCAAAGGTGTACTTCCTGTTAAACAAAGTTTTTCTACTATACTATATATCCACACACATTTTCAGTATATTTAAATCTCTTTATAAGCAGATGTTACTAAAATGCTTTTCAATATAATTAAAAGAAATTTGTTATTTCCCCATCTACTTTCCAGTTTCTCAAATCTTTTCAAAGCAGATTAACATCTTCACGCTACAAGAGAAATACATTCAAGCATTACCAGAAGTATATTCAGCAAATGCAGTATTTTAAATACGGCATTTGTTAGCAATGATGTAAACACAGTTTAGGTTTAGTCACTTATTAGGCTTTGAATAAAACTTGCCTGTCGGTAGGCCGAGTGTGAAGTACCTCCCTTGAGTGGGCTTGAACTGGATAATACGATTGCAGATGTATTTGGCTGCCCATTCACTTGCCTGATCATAGTCTTCAAGAATGACAAGCCTCATTATGGCAGCAAAGAGCTTGTACAATAAAATAAACCTGGAGAAAACAATTATTTTTTTTAATGTAAGTATCACATCAATAGCTGTAAAACTCAAAGCAGTAAGGTTCACCTTTTATTATTTAGTAATATACTTAATCAGTATAGGAGTTATTTTCATTGCATAAACATGCTGCAATTTTGCGGTTCTATTTCAAACTGGACTGTCAGACAATCAAGAAACAAGTCACAGAATCCACATGATACATTCCTGTTAAATTAATAATTAAAATGAGAGTTTTAGTAAGTATCTTAATATGAAACCCATAAAGCTCAGACAAAATGGAAGTGAGCTATCTTGAACATCAGTCTTCCCAATTAGTAATTGTTAGAAATGAGAAGTATGTTTGCTTTGTCCTTCAAGCAGAATAAACACTAAGATTAGATCTTGTTTTCTGCAGCCAGCTGAGTGTCAAAGATTTCGAAACTAAGACCCAGAATAACCCCACGCTCCCCTATTCAGAGAGAAAACTGGAAATAAAGTTCCTTTTGCTTCTATTCTAAGAATACTTCAGGAAGGCTATTAACTTCAGAAACAAAAAATACACGTGTTGCAGACTTAAAATCTCAACATGTCATGGAAATACATAAGTGAGGTAAGATTTTTCTTTACAACCCAACATGAAACAAACTGGAGTAATTAATTCTTTAGAGTCTTTAAGTACAGCCATACTAACAGAATACCTAAAGCTACATGCTTGGCGGATACAGCACGTGGCAGCCGCCCGCATTCAAACAAAACAGTTCGCCACGGCTGTTTGGCAGAGAAAGATAACGAGCTGCCGGCGAGGCGGAGGCACTTGAGCCAGACCGCGCTACATCCCCGTGCGTACCCAGAAGGCACCGCAATGCTAAGGGACTGACGAGCGACCCGCGGACGGGCGACGGTGCTTTCTCCAGGCTGCGGTGGCCGCACTTGGAGACAGGAAGAAGCCAAAGGCGAACCGCCCCACTCCGCAGACCCGGCGCGGCCCCCGCGGCCTCCCCCTCCCCGTGGGGCCTGCGGGTACCGCCACGCCCCGGGACCCACCCTACCGCCGAACCGCTCACCCCCGGCAGACCCCTCAGCACCGCCGAGCGCCCGCAGCAGCCGCCGAGCCGCCGCCCCGCACGGACGCGATCCGGAAGCACCTGGCGAGGAGCGGACGTCGCCGTGCTGCGGGCGGCTCCGCGCATGCGCGGGGGCAGCGGCCTCTGGAGGGCGCAGTAGGGGAACGTGGAGGGGCTTCCCGTAGGTGCGGGGCTCTGCTCGGCGCTTGGAGGCTCAGCGTTTCCTCCTAGGTTGCGGTGGGGCCTTGGGGAGAGGCGTTTCCTTAGAGCTCCCATAAACCCCCGTGATTAAACTGAGGGGAGTTGATGGAAGCCGGGAGAAACTTGAAATCACAACCCACGTGTATGAGAGCAGCATGTCTGCTGGTCATTTACTTGCATGAAAGTACATAGAAAGAATGAGTAACAATTTGCTCAAAGCTTAGAAGATGTATTTGCCACCTTACAACAGAAATAAGCGTTAGTGTAGTCTTTGGATCTTGCAGATACACATAGAGACAAAAGGATAGATGAAATCTGTAATTTAAAATAAAATACAGATTTTTGAAGTTTAACTTTAAAATATCATTACTTGTTACTGACCTGATTTCTTTCACGCCTTTTCTTCCTATAACACTTTTCTCAAAAGTTCACTAGATTATGAAGAGTGGCACTTGCTCTTAACCATTTAGAATCATAGAACCCCTACAGCTAGAAGGGACCTCTGATGGCCATCTAGCCCAACTCCCCTGCAATGAATAGGGACACCACAACTAGATCAGGTTGCCCAGAGCCTCATCCAGCCTCACCTTGAAAGTCATCAGGTCTAACTTATTGTTAGAAGTATCAGCTGCCACATAGGCATAAGTGCATGATTCTATAGCTGACTGTGACACTATACCACAGGCATTCTACTTGCAAGGAAGCAGAATTACTTCTGACAGATCTTTAGTAATGCCAGATAAAGTATTTGCAGACAGGCCCACAGTCACATACAGAAAGAAGAGCTGAACTCACCCAGCTGATGGAGGACATCACCTAGCTACAGACAGCACTCCTTTACAGAAAGGAGCCCAGATCCAGGAGATGCTGTGCTGGTTGTAGCTGGCTCTTATATGAGCCCAGGGTGGCTCCACCCTGAGTCCACCCCTTCTAGTCATGTGAGGAGCACAGGCATATAATAGAAGAAAGCTAGAAAATCATGTTTCAGTGTCTTTGATCAATGCTTGTAGAGACAAGAATGTTATGCTCCACTTTTTTCCTTATGTGTATTTATATTTGTCTTTCTTTTTTGTTAACTTTCTTTAACTAAAATTTTAGAACAGCTTAAAGAAATGTAGTTCAGGTTTATTACAGTTTGTCCTCATTAATAATCCTTTCTAATGTTATCCTTGGATTTCTTTTTTTTTTTTTTTTTTTGTTCTAGTTTTTTTGGTAGTTCGGTGTGGTTTTTAATATTTTTTTCTGAAGATGCTGTAATCGTCAGAAGGCTGCTGCTGTGCGGGAGGTGCTGTGCTTCTCACTTCCGGCAGGGGGCGCCATGGTCACACGGAGCAGCCGAGGCTGCTCCACTCTCTCCAAACCGCTGGGACCTTCCCAGTTTTTTTTTTTATGGCCTTTTTAACTCTGCATTCAGAGCCATAGATAATTAGTTCCTGAAATACTCAATGTTAAGCATCCGCTGTTCTTAAAAGTTTTTATGTGCTACTTGTTTCTTTCCTTAAGCAGTTGGTACAGAGTAGTAATCACCAGACGTCTACTCCACTCAAAAACAAATAACAGAAAAACTCAATGGTATTTATAAAACGCTATATAATAAAACCTAAATAGTTATAAAGCAAGATATTATCGAGTGGAAGAATGAAATCCATATATGACATATGTAGCTAATTTCTTCTAATGTGTAGTATTTTATTTTTTTTTTTTAATTCTAACGGTATCCTTTGTGGTATTGATCATTCAGTCAGGCCAGACTGAAGCAGTAGCATGGACGTATGTTTGCACCTAGTTTGCAGCAAACTACTGGTGGGCATTTATCTGAATTAACTTGGTATTTACTGCAACATAATCCTAACCAGAAGCTTTCTGAATCCACTCAGCACCTAGATTTACAACCCATTGTCAAGTGTACCTTAGAAAAAGATTTTCCTGCAGTTTCTGAACTACCTAGGTCAATATTTTCCTGAAAGAGAAGATAAGGGCTTTTGTTCCACCTGGGGATGTTAAAGATAAACTGTGAAAACAGAGGAAACTGAAGCAAATTCTTCTCCCAGGAGAATTCTTTTTTAATTTCTCCAGACACTGGGGACTGTTTGTCCCCTGAGGCTGAGCTGTTCTCTGCTGACTGTATGTTTACATACATCTGTGGTTGTGTACATGCCTACTTCTTCAATTCTAGAGACAAAACAGCAGTCTATAGCTGAGCCCTGACTGTGAACTTTTCTCTTTAAATGCATAATCTTCCCTCCCCTCCGGGCTACTTATTCTGGTATGAGGATCAGGATGT